ACAAAACCGAGCTGTCTCTGTATGTTCTTCTGTTCCAAATGTTTTCAAGACAGATGATACAGTTTGACTTAAAATTTGAGCAGCTAGTTTGACAGTCATAGCAGAGTAAGAATTTATTTGAATATGCTCATTAGTTAATTTAGGTAAAAGTTTTAAACCATTGTCTAAATCTTCATAATACAATTGAGTTATGTGCTGCCACAATAAATACTTCCCGTCATTCCATAAGTAGTGCGTACATTTTCCGGCACCAGAATTTAACAAACAGTTTCGGGAAGTTTTAATCAAGTGTGGTGGGTCAGCAACAAAATAGATGTATCTAGATTTGGCATATAAATTTATTGTTTTAAAAATGACAGGAGTAATCATATCTCCACACATGTAACGGTGTAGTTTAATCATTGTTCTATTCGATGATGCGCTATCGGCTACAACAGAAACTAGATGAAGATTACATCTCTTCTCTAAAATGCATACTGAATCCCATAATAAACTAAATAACTGTACTGCTGTGGCAGTGATGGTTGTAAAATATGCAAGCGAAAACTTAAGAGATGTTGCAACAAAACGAACCATGAAAACAAGGGCATGAGAGGCAAGTTCACATTTTTGTAGTGTAGCAAAGTTTAAGTCTGGGTTTCCCAAATCAACAAACCCAATCAGCTGATTACTATTCTTATCAAAAACCAGATTAGATTTAATTGACATCTCATCAATAAGAAGCACAACATATCTTTCAATATTTGTATAATGTTTAGTTTGTCTACTTAACTCCTCAACAATGCTATCCTGATACCCAACTTTCGGTGGAATATAATTTTTATAATCTCTGAGTGTTCTCAGGCTTGGCAACACAAGTATTTTGCTATTTCTAATTTCTTGGTATGCAGAAGGTGATTTTGATGCAATGGATAAACAGTACCTTATTATCATTGGGTGATACCTAACTCCTGATGAGGAAACTCTAAACAACTTTTTTTGTTCTTGCCAAAACAAATTCATAAAGTCACTAATATCATGTTTAGCATCAGAGATAATTGAAAGAAAATCATTATGTAATTCACTGTCCATCATCACACTTGAGCTAATAAGCTCTTCTTGCATTGTTTTGATCCTAGCTTGCAATTGTGCACATTTCAGACGATGCTGTTGAATTGTTAATTTAAGTCTTGATGGTGAGGTCAAAGAGATAGGGGCATTTAGTTTGGCTGGCTCATTGTGTCTCTTTTTTTTTTCTTTTTTAAATAAATAACTGATTTGTTTGTAAATATACATTTTTTACATCTGCTTGAGTCTTTAAGTAAAATGTCACAGTTAATATTTCTGTAATCTGACATACATTGGAATGGAGATGTTTCTGTATCCCAATAATGTGGATTGTTTTTAAAAGGTATACAATGGTGAATGGTACTTGATGTCTTTTCATGAATTGGTACACCTTCACATAACTGATTACTTTCAAGTAAAGTAATTAAATTTTTTAATGATATATTTTGCATACTTCTTTTGTAAATTTTGTAAATGGTATGACTTTCAGGAAGCATCCATCCATATACAGACAAACTATATCCTAAACTATCATCTATGATTATTTCAAATTCTGGAAGAACAAGCTGATTTGAACTTCTTTTTAAAACACTTATTTCATTTTCTTTTACATCTGTTATCCAACCATTCAAAAGTTTTAAATTTCGTATTTGAAATTCTATGTCTTTAAGTTTAACATAGCATTTGGTTGATATTTTAGTTGTAGGTTCAATAGATTTCCTTGGCATTCTTTTTTTTGGTAAAGTAGTGATACAACTTTTTATGGGAAGAAATAGACTTGGGATAACTCCATTTTTCATTATCTTTTTTGTCATTTTTGCACCAATGTCTTAAAAAAAATAGTTAATAAATATATCATACTATATATATATATATATATATATATATATATATATATATATATATATATATATATATATATATATATATATATATATATATATATATATATATATATATATATATATATATATATATATATAATTTGCAATCTTTTAAGTCATCAGTCAATCGTTATCTTGCTCTACAGATTTAGTCTTTTCTCTTCCAGTAACTTCCAACTCTTATAGTGGTTGGAATGGCAACCACTATAAGAGTTGGAAGTTACTGGAAGAGAAAAGACTAAATCTGTAGAGCAAGATAACGATTGACTGATGACTTAAAAGATTGCAAATTATATGAATCAGGAAAGCAAGATGAAGGAAGCGAATTCCAAAGAACTGATGTTCGAGGAAAAAAACTAGAAGAATAAGAGTTTTTGAAGCACTTAGGAACAGTCACAGAAAAAGGATGAGACTTAATTGAATGGCGAGTAACACGAGAATGAATTTATATATATATATATAAATTATATATATATATATATATATATAAAATATATATATATATATATATATATATATATATATATATATATATATATATATATATATATATATATATATATATATAAATTAAAAAAAAAAAACACTTGTGACATACGTATTTCAAAATCATCTGGCTTAAAGTGCTTTTCACAAGCAAAGACTTTCCCAGAATTGATTTGCATTTTAAATTGTTGGTCAATCACACGCCCTTTTGTAATTGAATTTAACCATTCAGATCGCCATTTTTGATGAGCAGGATCTGCAGAATTTGAATGAGGAAGTTTAAATATTCCAACACCTTTGGTTCGTCTTGAAGTACCACAGTTTGTTATACTGCAATTATCTCCAGGCATATTTTGCTTTAAAATTAACACTGAATAAATATCTAATAACCAAAAAATCAATTACAAACAATCACTACATATAATATATAGAATGTAATAACTATTAAAACATATCATAATGACTTTTTTGCGTTATATAACAAACTCTTATGTTACTATGCAGTAATACTCAATAGTAATGCATTTTATATTTGTAGAATACAATGAACTAAAATAAGTACTTTTTCCTTCATAAATATTTGTAAATCACCTGTTTAAATATAATCTGACTTGAAGTACATCTCCAGACTATCAACGAGTTTATAAAACAGTATTCAGTTATTTAATTTGCTCATTAATCTTAATGAGTAAACTAACTAAATGAATTTCTAATTTATACTCTAATAAAACAGAAAACGTGTTTGTTTCATGCTCACAATCCGCAATACATTAATCATTTTATTATCTCTAAAAATGCTATCTTTAAAAAATAGTTTAGAATCTATACTAACAATTTTACTTTTATTTTCAAGAGTTTATTTAATGAACTTCATGCCAAAATCAGATATTGTTATACAACGTTAATAAGTTTGTGTGCACGGTCACGCTTGATTTACGCTCTAGTTTTGTGTCAATAAGTTAAACAATGACTTTTACGGAGTTTCCAAACCATTTAAAGTCTATTAACTATGGTTGCAGCAATAAACATTGAATATCTCTTATCAAAAAAAATGGGTCTTGCCCAGTTTTTTAATGTTTCATGCACTGAATGTAGTTGGAAAAAAAAATTTTGTTCTTCAAAAGAATGCAGTAGACTGCAGCTTACTTTAAGGAGAAAGGGTTTTGAAATACTCAAACAATTGCTGCATTTAGAGAAATTGGTCAAGGTTTTAGTGCAATAAAAATATTTTGTTCTTGCATGAATATGCCACCACCAATGGCCAAAACAACTTACAATGAAATTAATAGTGAGTTACACAATGCTTATGTGCAAATAGCACAAGAGTCAATAAAAGAAGCTGTCAAACAAATACATTATAATAGAACTGTAGATGACTCTGTTGTCAAATTGGATGCTCAAAAACACAGTTATACTGCTGCATAATATCTAAATTTCTGTACAAACATAATAAATTTAAAGAAAAATAAACTTAAAAAATGAAACATCAAAATTTTTTAATTTTGATCATCATTTAATAATGATGATCAAAATTAAAAAAAATGAAAACCTTTCCCTAGAAACCACACTTCTTCCGTAGAAACCAGTTATGAAAATAAAACATACCTTTCCTAAGAAACCATACTTTCCCCTAGAAACCATACTTCTTCGCATAAAAATTTTAACTTAAAAAAAAAAAACATTTTAAGGAGCATGCGGTAACTGAGCTAATCATATGTCGGATACTTTTGATAAGAATTATTATTTTTGATAAGAAATATACGCTAAGAGTTTTCTTTCCTTTTTTCTCAAAAGCCTTTGACACCATTAATCATAAAATCCTTTTGAATAAAAAACAAGCCATGTTAGCGTATGTAGGATGACTATGTATAAACAAAAAGTAAAGAATTTTGTGATAAAAATGGTCTAGCTTTGAAAAGTAAACCAAGATTTTTAGATATTTGAGTGTTGATGGCCTTCATGTAGGCAGTCCATGAAACATTTTCGTCTATAACCACTCCAAGAAATTTAATTGGTTGGGTTCATTAAATATTGTTGTAATCGATAGTTAGATAGGGAAAAATTAATGGAAGTACCTTTTTTTGTTGCTTTGAGTGAAAAAACTTAATATATTTAGTTTTTGTACGTTTATTGATAACCAAAAAAAAAAAAAAATTCTTTGTTTTTTAATATTGTAATTAATAGTGTACGTAGTAGCTAAAAAAAAAAAAAAAAAAAAAAACTCAATACTATATTTTGATTTCAAGTTATAGAGCATCAAAGTTGTTTATATTGTCGGTATATTTTATTTTGTAATTGCGGAATTAGCGGAAAAAACTGTAAAAATATTTCAAACTTCGGGAATTAATATTTCAGATCGCCGCGTTCTACAAACCTAACAAAGTTGATAATAGCTCACATAAATTGGTTTTCCTTAACTCAATAAAAATAGTAAAAGAGAATCAGTCGTTAATTTGCGATTCTAGATTTTGTCATTTATGTTTTATACATGTATTAAAAATGAAACCTTAAATAATATTTCCATACTATATATGAAAGCCATTGTTACTGTTCAATATTGCAGACACATATAAAACAATAAGGTTTTTACAAATGTGCTTATTTAATTCAGGTGTGCATTACTTTACATTTAGATATGCATTACTAAATCTAGCAAAAATATGCAGTGATATTTTCCTTTATCATATTGATAGATTTCAATTTTTCAGATTTTAAACATGTTTACAACATTCAAAAATATACAACTTTTTTATAAAAGTTTGTCACAACTTTAAGACTTTAAAGACTTTAGAATTTTGGTAATAATTCCAAAACCTGGCTTACTTTGACAGCACTGTCACCCTCAGATATATTTTATTACCTTAGTAATACTACTAGTATCAATTATTATGAATGCCAAGTCAATTGTCGACAACATTTTACTATATTTAGTTATATTTGCTATAAAAAACTGATAAATCTTATATTGAATATTGCGAATTTATGAACTTTATATTTAATTGTAAATCTTGCAATCATCATATTTATTATAGATAAAATACTCATTAACCGAAATGTCAAAGAAAATGGAATAACCCCCTTCGCATAAAATCACAAATCTCCAAAATTTAAATCATCCAATCGTAAAGTACTTTAATTTGTAACATGATATAACTATCTGGTGTAATATTCACCATCATATTGATTTAATAAAAATAACTAATTAACGTCTTTCTTTTAAAAGAGCAGCAAAGATTCACTAGGTAATGACGCAATGACGTGGTAATAATTCTGTCTTTTAAGTAATTCATAAATACCCTCAACCAGCTTTAAATTAATCCAAATAAAGAAATTTTCAAAATATCAAAATAAATGATCAAAATATGTCATCTCATTGTTTGCTTTACGACTGAAAAACCAATTATATCAATTATCAATTATATCACAATAACAAGATTTACGCAATTTAAATCACTGAAAATTGCAAGAAAATAACTTAAGTTTAGTAACGCGACCATTCATTTGATAATAAAGATCGATCGGTTTCAATTTTTCGAACAATATTTTCTGGAATCTGCTGGCTAATCCATATTCTCTCCAAATTTTCGTATCTCTTTTCATTTAAAAATAGTGGGTTGCCGCGTCTAAAAATAAACGCAGACCAATAAATAACACATGTATACAAACAAAGACAAGACTCATATATAAAATAAGAATTAACAGTTCAAAAGCAAAATTGTAGTCTGAAAATAAGTTTTTCTAAAATAATGCATACCTAAAACCGCGGTCAGCCTCACCATACTGATCTAAGTAAGGAGAAGGAATCATCATTCCTAATGTGTGGTTGTACAACAAAACAATTTCACTCTGTCTAACTATAAAAAAAATCCCAACACAGTTAGAACAAGACACTGAGTGTAATACGCATGCACCGTACTGATCCTCGTTTTTAGTCTGACAACAATAACATTGGCTGCATAACATTTCTCCGCATACAAGACACAACGATGGAATGCAACTGCTATCACCAGTAGTAGGACACCTAAAAAAAATTTCAAAACTTTGTATTAAACTTTTTGGTTTTTATTTTATTTTTAACAATTTCATATTTAACAACGCTGCAAGTCAGCACTTTAACAGCACTGCAAGTCACTTAAGAATAAAGAAGAACAAGATAAGGTAAAGAAGAGCAAGATAAGGTAATGAAAACATTTAAAAAGCAAAAAAAGAATAAAAGAATATTCGAAAAACTGTAAATTGAACGTGTCAAGAAAAGGTAAAAGCGAATTCTACTTTTTTATCATTCAATATTTTTGTTATCACAGTTTAAAAAAATCAGTAAAACACAAGATAAGATAGAAGCTTGTTATTTGAAGGCCTAAAAGCTTTGCTAACGATAGTGAGAAGACTTTTTTAGCAAGTCATAAGAGCAAGTCAGTGTTTCTCTGACTATTGCTTAGACTTGTTTAATAATTAAAAAAATATTGAAAAAATTTCTGAAACACTTTAATAAGACAGAAATATTGTCACAGTTATAAAGTGTTGAACTATAAGTTGTCACAACTATTTTTTTTCTTTTATTCTAATTCACTCCTAACAAAGCTGCAAGCAACTACTATCAAGTTGGGAGTTACTAGGAAAAAAGAATAGATTTATAGAGCAAGGAAATGGTTGACAGAAGATTTGAATAGTTGTAGATTGTATGAGTCAGGTAAACATGAAGATGGGAGAGAGTTCCAAAGGGTTGAAGTGCGAGGAAAAAAACAAGACGAATTAAAGTTTTTAGAGCATACAGAGACATACAGTAAACGAGTGAGACTTAGCTGAATGAAGAGTCAAGCAAGAATGAGTTTTAGCTGATGGAACTAGAGATCCTTTGAGCAGTAACCATGATAATATTTGTAGAAAAGAGAAAGATATGCAACTTTACAACGATGGGAAAGAGGCTCAAGCTTAGCAGATATAGCAAGTCCAACTACATTTACAATGCATTTTTAAACCTTGTCTAGAAGAAAAAGAGCATCATTAGAAAAACTAGTCCAAATATGACAACAGTATTCTATACAGGAACGAATAAGAGAATTGTAGAAGTAGATAATGGAATCAGGAGTAAGAAAGTGACGAGTACGATAAAAAAAAAGCAAATTTAGCGGATGCTAATTTAGCAATCGATTTTAGTAAGTGATTAGGAAAACGAGTCACAAAGTTAACTATCTGAGTAAGAGATTAAGAAATGTAGAAGTTATGGGTTTTAGTGTCAGTTGTGATAGAGCTAAGACATTTAGCGTGATGAGCATTAAAGTCTTTAATAACAACAATATTGGCAGAGGAGTAAAGAGAAAGAGCATGGTCAACTTGATCAGAAATTTTATCTAAAGGGGAAGAGAGAAAGAGGGGAAGAGAGAAAGAGCATGGTCAACTTGATCAGAAATTACACCTAAAAGAGTGCAATCTTGAGAAGAAGAAGAACAATAAAGAACAAAAAGAATGGTGAAGAGTGAAGAGGTACTAAGCAGAAACATAAAAGAATTGTCAAAGGATTCGAACCTGATTTTTATACTAAATAGGTGAAGTGATGCATATATCAAGCATAGGACTAATCAAAGGGTAGTACCTGTCAGTACTGAGATCTGAAGAAGGAATGGTGTAATTTAAATTAGTCTTACTAAGAGCAAGTCTGGTGAATTTTGTAAGATTCAATGATGGAAGGTTGCTTTGCAGACCACAAGTATTTGTAAAACAGTAATGTGGTGTTAATGGTTTTTAATGTTTAAAATTTTGGGTTACTTTTAGCATGATTTAAGTTTAATGAGAATTTGACTCATTCATAGATAAAGCACGGCCTGATAAGCAATGAGCTATTCAGTATAAGCTATGGATATAAATATTCACAATTAATTATATAAATTGTCACAATTACAAGCTGCGGAAGTATATAAGTTGTTACAACTATACGCTGTGGAAGTGTATAAGTTGATTAGCAATAGTTAATAACCCAAAGTAATGTCTAAATGATTAACTTAGCAATTGAGTTTCTTTGAGATATCAAGAAGATACCTGTTTCTTTGAGATATCAAGAAGAGTATAGTGATGAAATGAAAGATTTGTATAAACACTCTTAAAAATTTTCTAGAAGCCTTTAGAACCTAACTTCTGAGATAAAATACAAGATTTAGTTACCTGAGAAAAGTGGAGCCTAACATTAGATAATAAACTTTTGCACTGATTTTTTACAATAATAAAAAGACTTTTGTTCTAAGGAGAGTTGTTCTGATAAAAAAGATAAAAGATTTTAAATTAGAAATACCTGCTACACAAGAAAGAGTAAACCAAAGGGCAGAGTGAGACTTATCTTAAAACTGACAAAAAGAAATTAAAGATACCATGTTTGGCTGATTCCAGAAGATGAAAGGACAATTTTTAGCAGAGAGGAAGGAGATGGGCCCTAGGACCAGCATAAAGAAAATCACTAAAGAAATTGTCATATACATATATATACATATATATATATACATGTAGCAACACTCCCTTGTAGCAGCAGAGTAAAAGATAATCGATGTAGCAACAGTCTGTGCATGTTTTAAAAAAAATATTTTAATAAAACATCAACAAAAACACCATTAATTAAAAAAAACTTTCTAGTCTTTATTGCGGTTTTTTTAAAAAACAATAAAATTTAATGTAATTCCACATTAATTGCTTTGAGATTTCGAAGACAATAAAATGTAGCTTAATTGTTAGGGTAAAAAATTGTAGTAGAAAGAGACTTTTTTTGAAATCAACTCATTTTGTTTATTTAACAAGTTTTCACCTTTATATATTAAAATAAGGAATTTTTCATATAAGCAAAGATTGCAAATTTTTGACGAGCTTATAAGGATTGCAAAATTTTATAATTTTCCACTTAATTAAGCGTATAAACATTTTGTCCCAAATTTCTTTAGACAACTTGGTATCATTTTTATATTTATTAATGTTAAAAGATTTTAGGTGATTAGCATACTGAGATCTGAATGGAGTTTCACATAAACCAAAATATTTTTCTTTGTAATCAGATTTATTTGACAACACGGTGGCTTGATAAACGATGTTTTTTTTTTTTTTTTTTTTTTTTTTTTTTTTTTTTAACATCTTCACTTCCAACAAGGCTGCAAGCAACCACTATAAGAGTTGGAAGTTACTGGAAGAGAAAAGACTAAATCTGTAGAGCAAGATAACGATTGACTGATGACTTAAAAGATTGCAAATTATATGAATCAGGAAAGCAAGATGAAGGAAGCGAATTCCAAAGAACTGATGTTCGAGGAAAAAAACTAGAAGAATAAGAGTTTTTGAAGCACTTAGGAACAGTCACAGAAAAAGGATGAGACTTAATTGAATGGCGAGTAACACGAGAATGAATTTTAGTAGATGGCACAAGGGACGCTAGCTCTTTAGAGCAGTGCCCATTATAGTATTTGTAGAAAAGAGAAAGAGAAGCAACATTACGACGATGTGACAAAGGTTGGAGATTGGCTGCCAGAGCAGGTCCAACTATGTTTACAATTCGTTTTTGCACCTTGTCTAAAAGAGAAAGAGCATCATTAGAAGATCCGCCCCAGATGTGGCAACAGTATTCCATACAGGGACGGATTTGAGATTTATAGAGATAGAGAATAGAATCTGGAGTAAGAAAGTGTCGAGCTCGATAAAGAGATGCAACCTTAGCAGATGCTAATTTTGCAATGGATTTGATATACGGTTTAAAAGAAAGATCAGAAGTAAGAGTTAATCCTAGAAGATGAATGGTAGATGACTCATCTAGTACATTACCATTCATAAATATAGGAAGATCTAAATTATTACGATAACGATTGGCTGAATAAAATTGAGTTTTATCTGAATTAAAGTTCACCAGCCACTGTGAGCCCCATGCTGTAGCAGAAGTGAGATCCTTTTCAAGCTCAGATACCCCCTCCAAGCAATCAGAGAGTGTAGGCTTCTTATCATGACAAGAGTAAATGGTAGTGTCGTCAGCGAATAATGCCACCTTAGATGTGAGAATATCTGGAAGATCGTTAATGTAAATTAAAAAGAGTATAGGGCCAAGGATTGAACCTTGAGGAACCCCTGAAGTTACAGGATGTGAAGAAGATCGAGGACAACTTTTATATGTCCATCGAGGACAACTTTTATACTACGATTGGAAAGAAAGGACTCAATAATCTTAAAGACGTTACCAGCTACACCATAAAAAGAAAGCTTATGGAGAAGACCAGCATGCCAAACTTTATCAAAAGCTTTAGAAATGTCAAGTGCGATAGCCTTAACCTCTTCACCTCTATCTAATGCACGGTAAAACCTATCGGTTATTACTGTTAGCACATCAGCTGTAGAACGAGAAGACCGAAATCCATATTGATGATCAGAAAGTAAGTTATTTGATTCAAGATGAGAGATTAAGTGTTTGTTGATTAAAGATTCAAAAACCTTGCTTATGACAGGAAGAAGACTAATGGGACGGTAGTTAGATGAATCAGATCGCTCTCCGAAATTTTTGAAAATAGGGATAACAGATGCTGCTTTCCAGCATGATGGAAAACAAGACTCTGATAAGCACTTGTTAAATAGTTTAGAAAGTATGGATGAAAGCTCCGGAGAACACCTCTGCAAGACTACAACAGGAATGTTGTCAGGACCACAAGCTGTTGAAGAGTCTAAGCAGGAAATTACTTTAGATACAGAAGCTGAAGTGATGCGAATGTCAAGCAAGGGATCAACCTGTTTGACGGCTATGTCAGGTAAAACGCAACTAGTGGAATCAAGAGATGATATTGATGAAAAGTTCTTAGCAAACAATTCAGCTTTGTCTTTAGGTGAGGTGACAAAGTCTGAACCATACAAGAAAGAAGGAATAACAGATTTGCCCTTATTATTGATACTGTTAAAGATTCTCCAGAAGTCTCGAGAGCCTAATTTTTGTGATGAGATACGAGATTTAATGACCTGGGAATAGTGAGCTTTGGCGTCAGACAAAACCTTTTTACAATGGTTTCTGGTGATAGTGAACAGATGTCTGTTTTCTGGAGAATTGTTTTGCTGATAGATATGGAAGTAACGGTTTCGATTAGAAATTGCTGCAGCGCAATGTGAGGAAAACCAAGGAGAAGAGTGAGGCTTGACCTGGAATCGCCGAGAGGGAATAAAAGATTCCATGCCAGCCTGAATCCACGAAGTTATGTAAGAAGCACATTTGTCAGCAGGAAGACGAAAGATTTCTACCCAAGGGCCATCACGAAGAAAATCACGGAAAGAGTACCAGTCAGCTTTAAGGTAGTTGTATGTGGTACGATGATAGGGGGATTCTGATGAAGTAGAAGAATTTGATAATAGTTTTAGAGAGATCAAACCGTGATCAGAAGTACCTAAGGGTGAATGTGGAGAAATTGAGCACTGACTAGGATCCAAAACAAGACATAAGTCGAGTAGAGAAGGTAAATGATTAGGGTTGTCTGGAAAACGAGTTGGAAAGTTGACTATTTGAGTTAGAGATTGAGAAAGGCAAAAGTTGAGAGCCTTAACGCCAGCAGAGTCACTGACACTAGAGCCAAGCCAATCGGTGTGATGGGCATTAAAGTCACCAACAACGACAATATTGGCCGATGGATAAAGAGAGAGGGCTTGGTCAATTTGATCAGAAATAACATCAAGAATAGTGCAATCTTGGGATGAAGGAGAGCGATATAGAACAAAGAGAAAGGCGATAGAGTGAAGTTGTGCTAAACGAAAGCACATAAATGAATAGTCTGTAGATTCAAACCTAGTTTCACGACAAATGGGTGAGTTCTTACGAATGTAGATGCCCAGGCCAAGCATGTGATTATTGGAGTCTTTACGAATTAAAGGAAGATAACCATCAACACTAAGATCACAAGATGGGACAGCTGAACTCAAATTAGTCTCACAAAGAGCAAGTAGGTCTGGTGAACTTTGCAAGAGATAAGACTCAACAGAAGAAAAGTTACTTCATGTTCTTTGTCAAGCACTGATTATTCATGGGGCAGATGGATTTGTTGACACAGTTGTATATTTTTCCTTCATTTTTACCTTGTCTATATAATATCCAGTGATTGTGAGAATTAATGATGGACTTGATGTTTAGCATACATGAGCAGCTTATTTTAATGGTATTTTGATTAAATATCTTGAGAAGTTTGTGACCAACGGGAAAGTGCAGATCTACCATGTTCAAAAAACGACTGCCTATTTTTGTTGCAATATTGGTACTGAAAGGTGGGTTGTACCAGATTATTTTTTGCTTGTGATTTTTGAATGGGATCAGTTTTTTATTTGAATGGTAAGGGAATTTGCAGATAAAACCTGATTTAAATAATGCATCTTGATAAGGAGAAATAGGTTTAAAAATATTTTTGTTAGAAGAATTAGTTGGCAATTTTAGTTCTATAGTTTGAGAAAGATTTTTTAGTATGCTAGGAGGGTGGTTTACTCAGCATTTATTTAACTGATGGAATTACCAGGCTTGCAGTAAGGTTGGAAAGAACTGTCATTAAGATTTAACATTAAGTCCAGATAACTAACAATTTTAAAAATACAGCTGATGGATATATGAAGATCATTATTTTTAAAAAATTTTCACAAAGTGCTTTTTTAATTTGCTAGACCATCATGTCTAGTAAATTAAAAAGTCAACTGCTAGACCATCATCTCTTTACAATCCGAATTTATTGTTATTGTAAGACTGTGATAATTAAAACAAGATAAATATTCCAACTCACAAACTTCTGCGCCATCAAAGGCTCCCATGATGACATCAAATAAACCTCAACTTTTTTAAATCTAGGCTTCACCATTGTTAAACAATAATGATTTCCTGGCGTGATGATTAACTCTTTTTCATCTTGTTTTATAATTAAGTGTCAAAAAAAGATTTCATCTAATTTACTTTATTTGAAAGGCAAACAATTTTCTCAGATTTTTGAAAATCATAGTTACATTTGTTGAAACAAAATTTTCAGTCATCAAAAAAAAAGTTTAATTTACAACAAAATCAAATTATATTTAATGTAAATTAAAAAAATTTAACATTCATTAAATATAACTGAAATTCATTATGTTTTTTTTTCAGATTGAATGCCCCATATTACTAATCAAAAGAAAAAACTGTGCTACAATATTTTTTATTGATATGTAATGTGGCGCATTCTGTAAATTCAGTTAACCATATGTTTACCCTGCTTGTCGTTATAGTTGACCATGGCCTGCATAAACAAATAAAATTAAACTACCTGAAGCCTGAGGCCATGTTAATCAAAGAGCTATAATCATGTGGTAAGGTGATCAATCGGCGTGCAGTAAAGTAGCACTTCCTAAAATAAAATAAAAAAATCTAATAAATAAAAAAATAAAATAAAAATAAGATAAAAGTCATGTCAAGTAAAAATTGTCACAAACTTTAAACTGTCACAACCTTTAAACTGTTACAAACTTTAAACTGTCACAACTTTAAACTGTCACAACTTTAAACTATCACAATATATCTGCACCAATTAAATAATAAAAATATAAATAACAAGTAAATTATACACATAAGTAAACATTACCTATAATATTTAATCCCATAAATAATTTTTTTTCATGGAATTGCATAAACAACTTTTTATGTAATCATGTTTTACAAAACATATCTAGCTAGATAAATTCCAATTTATCTAGCTAGATATGTTTTAAAAAAAAAAAACATTTTTAATTAACTTTGTTTTTGATGAAATTTATTTTTGAACTTGAATTTTAATGTAACAACGCAAAAAATTAGAAAACATATATAATAAATATTTATAACAAACACTTTTCATAAAACAATTTACCAAAAAGCTTTACTATACATATAAAAACCAGAGTAAATGTTTGACATGTTATTGTGAAAGATTTCTTTTTAATTTTCTCAATTCAAAGAGCATTTTTAAATGAAAAGAAAAAGTTTGATATTTTCTTATCACACTGTAATGCCTTTATACTGAAACGTAAAAGTGTAACTTCTTTGTACAGTACAGACTGTAAGAAAAAGTGATAATGATTTAAAATGTTTGTTCCCATTCAAATTAAAAACCTTTCAAGACGCACTTTCAAGCAATAGAATAAGGCTGAACTCTTCCTTATTTAATGTTATAACAGATTTTCGTAGTCTTCAAACTGATTTTTGGCAAAATCAGCTGTTTGGGCGAATATCAACTTTGATTTATACAACTTATCAATTAACTACTTTGTTATTAATCATACTATTTGAGGATAGGCATGCTACATTTTGCACTAACATATGCTTTAAAGGACTTCTACCTTGCAGTCTTATAACAATTTTAACCAGGAAGTTAATGCGATCTTTTTTAAACTTGTGTTTTGTGGTTTATGTCCCATCTTTAGAGCATAACATAAATTTGACTGCCAACTGATCAAATTTGTTCCAAAGTGTATTTGATAAGTTGGCAATTGATTTTCCTTTTTTGATACGTCAAGCTTGATAAGTGAGTATGTAGTTTTTATATTATTAATTCATAGTTTACTCTGAAAAAATAAATTTAATATATTGATACAACTTCTTTTAAACCATAAAGGATTAAATTCATATTCACAAATAATTAAACTTTACTTTTTCTATAACTATTGACATTTATTGAAATATTTTTATCAGGGTTTTTATTAGAGTTTTTACAACAATTTATTCCAAACAATCATTCCAAATCAAGGTTTTAAAAAATGGCTTTAGAGATAGTAGAAAGTATTTCTAACAAAACTGCAAAAAATAATAAAAAATACAGAAAAACATAAATACAGAAAAAAAAAAATGTTTAAATTGTCTTTATTGACAATTTTTCTGTAACCAGGTGTGTTGCAATGTAAAAATCACACAAAGTTGGCAATACAAAAATAATATTTATTTAACAAATAATGGTGTTTATTCTGCTGTATCTCAAGGTTTGTAACTTTGTTCATATGTTCTCATATGGAGGAGGTACAGACTCATCTCATTCACTTTACCTCATCTAATGTTTCTTCACTAACATATTTTTTCATTAAAGTTCTTAAATTAAATATAAAAATATTAATAAAATTATAAATGTACTTGTCAATATTCAAGAGTGTACTTATCCTTATTTTAAAAAGAACTCATCAACAATAAAAAGAAAAGTCACAATAATAAAAATAAAATATTCCATTTTAAGAAACAATTTATTGTAGTGTTAATCTGTTTTGCAGATCAGGGTTGAGTATTTTTATTGTGATTTAAAAAGATTTCAATACATAGTTTTATGTAGTTTGGCTAATGGTAGGAGGAGCTCATAGCTCCTCCTACCATTAGCCAATTTTCAACGGCTAAGGGGTCTTTATTATGAAGCTAAATTATGAATTGATCCTATGAAACAGGTTGCACTGGATTACATGTAACCAGTAACAGCATGACCTGACCATAAATGATTGATTGATACAAACTCAAATAAAATTTAAAAACATATTTGATTATTTATTTAACTGATATCTTATTTTGATAAATACTGAAATTTAAACAATCTTCTGAAAAGAATTACCTGACTGATTGACTGACTGACAATAAAAAGACAATCTATAACTTAAACTGCAATAATATCTTTTTGGAATTTTTATCAAATGAAATATATTTATAGTATTTACACCATTTAAATAAATTGTCTCTTAAAAAATAAAAATGCTTACTCTATTTTAATACTAGAAACATTGTAAACATCTTTGTGTTCACACCACCTAAAAAAAAATAAAAAGTTTAAAAACAAAAACAGAGAACAGAATAGTAAAAACACAAAGTTATGTTTTAAGTAAAAATTAAAAAGTAAAATTTATAACATAAAAAAAGAAACTTTACTTTAAAACAAAGTTACTTTTAATAAGTAACTTTGTTTTGACTTCATTTAACTTTTTTTAAATTCATTAGTTTTATAAATAATCATTAGATTTTCCATTCTAATCATTTTTTGTACATTTTTATTAAACTGCAAAAAAAAAAGTTTTACTTAATGAATCCCTTAACATTAATTATTATTATTTCATAATATTTATCTACATTTACTAATTTTATGTTACCTTTTAATTGATATAAGTAAATATTTTCATGTATAAAGACAATTCATTAGATTTTAATTCATTTAAATATTTTGAGACCAATAACATGTTGAATTTGCAATGAGCCAATTTGAGTTTTTATAAATTTTGTTAATTATCTATATTAAGTGTTTGCAAATATTAATATATGAGGTTTTTGGAAAATATTTTCTACTTGTAGTTTGCAAACTAAATCTTAACAATCACATTTGTTGCTATAGTAACAAATAATAAAATCAACTTGGTATCTTAAAAAGCAAAGAAAATATTTCAATAAAATTAAAATAGAACCTTTTTGTTACTTGGATCATTTTCTCTTCTTGCATTAACCAATTTAATGTTAAGAGCTCATCAATATTCACAGGAATGTTCAAGTATGTTAAAAGTACAAATAGTTCATCACAAATATATTCTAAAAGAGCAAATATTTCATCACAAGTATATTCTAAACAATTATAATCATTACAAATTATCAGAGGTGGAAAAAGTAAAAGAAATTGTACTGAAGTAAAAGTACTGTTATTTGAGTGAAATTTTACTCAAGTGCAAGTAAAAGTTACCGGTCAAAAAGTTTACTCAAGTAAAAGTAAAAAGTCGCTTATTAAAAATGTACTCAGAGTAAAAGTTTGGGGGCGTTACTTTTTCAGTAACCAAGCTGTCGAATAAAAAAAACAAAAAAAATCACATAGTCTATTCTTTTCTGTATAAAATTTATTTTTTGTACAGAAAATTTATTTTATGGTCATAAAAAGTTAAAAACCATGAATGAGCAAAACTCAAAAAAATAAAAATATTAAATCATAGTATTTGTGAAATCAAACAATACATAATAATTTTCTTTACTCAGTAACGCATATGATTTCAAATGTAGCAAAGTACAATACTTTAGAAATTATATAAAAAAGTAATAAATATAGTTAAACAAAAAAATTATTTAAATAAAATCATTTATTTTAAAAAGTATAATATTTATAAAAACATCATAGATCATACTCGTCATATTTTAAAAATCCGGAAAATTGTTTGAATAAATTATCCGGAAAAAATCAGGAATTTGTTTTCCTTTATTTTATTTTTAATTTCACTTTTAGCTAAATTGGTTTAGTTTTTTTTGACAAATTTTCTTAATTTTTTTATGATTGATGAGTGAAAAAGCTTAAAAAACAAATATATTACAAAAATATATACCTCAACTTGCATGTATTGAAAATGTTTTGAATATCTGGAAAAACTAATATTTATATATATATATATATATATAGAATTAGTCAACATTAGAAACAACAAATAGAGTCTAGACAATAACTGTGTTAAAAACTTAAATAAGTCTCAAAGAGTATGTAAATCTGATGAATTGTCCAAGAAGTAAATACTTTCTGATAAAATATTACTGACAAAACCCAAATTGCAGCAGTTAATACTGTTAATTGCTGATAAACCCAGGAAGCAAATTGAATTTCACTTTGCTCCATTATAGTGTAACTTCCACTGAAATCCATCTGATTTTAGAAGAATTAAAAATATAAATGGATTATAGTTAGTTTATAAATATACCAAAAAGGTTAATACAAAATTATTAAATTTTGTTATCATACTGCAAATGAAATTACAATTTTACTTGTTTAATCAATTCCTTTTCTGACACATTTTGGCAACATATACCCTATGGCTTTATATACACATGATGCATATAATCTGGAAATTGTTGATGCAGCAATATGCACCCCTCTAACAAAGATGTTAGTGGTTGTTCAATATCTTCTCACAAATAAAAATCAAGAACTTAGGAATTAACATCGTCCAAAACGGCCTAGTCAGTACCTTATTCTGAAATATCAGAAAGTAGCATATTTTTATGTTTATAAAATTCTTTCATAAGGTATTTCCTTTTGTTTGAATTGGCAGGTAATCCTGATTTAAATTTTTCAAGTGCCTTTCCAAAGGTTTACCTCTTGCTTTTGCTTCTTTCTTTTGCAATCTTTTCAACGCACTTCCTCCTTTTCAAAAATATGCGATTCAAACGTTTTAAAGCTTAAGAAACTAATTATCATGCACAGATGTGATGTATAGATCAAGTATGCCCATACATGATACGTCTGTGCATAATGCAATGAAAAAAAATGCTAAAATGTCATAGAAGAAAAAAAATACTTTTGCTATTCAATTCAGTAACCTAAAAATGCGCAAAGTAAAAAAAATTCAGTTTAATTGAATCTTTTTAACACTTCTTTTTCCAAATAATTAAACCTTTTAAATCATGCATGGAAATTCAAATTAATTTTCACTTGAGCATAAAATTTACATAAAAGATACTTCCAAGATACTTAGTTGCAATTTATGATAATGAAATATAAAAAGACATCATTATCTTGAAGAATTATAAAATCTGGGCAATGAAATCAACTGAATTTTGGATAATCAAAATATCACATATCTTCTTTTGAATTCCATCTTCAAAATTGAAAAAATAATTGTTTTTAAACTTTTATTTGACTCACTGAAATGGAAAGGCCTACATATATATATATATATATATATATATATATATATATATATATATATATATATATATATATATATATATATATATATATATATATATATATATATATATATATATATATATATATATAAAATTAAGAGCATAATTTATATTCAATAATTCTTTATATATATATATATATATATATATATATATATATATATATATATATATATATATATATATATATATATATATATATATATATATATATATATATATATATATATATATATATATATATATATATATATATATATATAATATATATATATATATATATATATATATATATATATATATATATATATATATATATATATATATACCCATATAGTGTAGCTTTAAGAGCATTTTAATGTAAAAAAAGTCTCTTACGACTACAATTTTAATTACCTCGTCTCTTAAGCTGTTTTTGATTGTCATCGAAATGTCAAAGCAATTAATTTATGCGGAAGTACATTAAATTTAATTGTTTTTTAAAAAATTTTTAAAAAACCGCAATTATAACGACTAGAAAGTTTTTTTTAATTAGTAGTGTTTTTGTTATTGATTTAATAAAAAACATTTTTAAAACATGCGTAAATGTTGCTACATCGACTATCTTATAGCCTGACTCGCAACGGAGTGCTGCTACATCGACTGACAAATAGCCTGACTCGCAACGGAGTGCTGCTACATCGACTGACAAATAGCCTGACTCGCAACGGAGTGCTGCTACATCGACTGACAAATAGCCTGACTCGCAAGGGAATGCTGCTACATCGACTGACAAATAGCCTGACTCGCAAGGGAGTGCTGCTACAACGACTGACAAGTAGCCTGACTCACAAGAGAGTGCTGCTACATCGACTGAGGGTTTGGTTTGGCCAGGCAGTCTATCAATTGAAAAAAAAATTTAATTTTTAAAACTTTTTCTGGTCTGGTTTATTAACGCGCTCTTTAAAACTACAGTTTATGGGAAACATTTTTTGATGCCACGCATCAAAATATATATATATATATATATATATATATATATATATATATATATATATAAAATTAAGAGCATAATTTATATTCAATAATTCTTTAGGTTGAATGCAAATTGAACAGGATTTCAGAACAGAGGGAGTAATAATGCTAAAAATTACTCCCTCTGTTCAGAAATACTGTTCAATTTGCAGTTAACATAAAGAATTATAATATAAATTATGTTCTTAATTATATATATATATATATATATATATATATATATATATATATATATATATATATATATATATATATATATATATATATATATATATATATATATATATATATATATATATATATATATATATATATATATATATATATATATATATATATATATATATATATATATATTAGGGTGTCCCAAAACTACATAATTTTTTTTTCATTTTGAACTATTTTTAGATTTTCAATCGGTTTTATATGTATCTTTGTCTATTTAAACCAAAAAAAAAAAAAAATTTATAATTTACCTTCACCCCTCCTTCCTCGCTACCTTTTTTTAATTGTTTTTTTTTCTAAAATTTTGCCAAAAAGGACTAAAACATTTTCAATAATAAACTATGTTTACATTTTTACCAATTTTCTTGTTAAGTTTAGTTTAATAAAACCTAATGACATGTTAACTAAAAAAAAAATTTCAATTTGACTCCCTTACAACCCTTTTTAAGTGATTTTTTTAAAATAATCCTAAATAAAATTCTTAAATATATCTATTAATATATTTAACTAAGTTCATATTTTTAATTAGTTTTATATATAGTTGCTTATACTAAAACCAAATAAAAATTTATTCAAAAGAAATTCACCAACCAAGACACCCGATCCCCCCCTATCCCCAACCCCACCTCTTGATCATGATATTTTTCTGCCTAAAATAATAACCTTTTAGAACTTAGCTTTTTAATTATAACAAAAAAGATTTATCATTATAATTTATTTTTATGACTAACAAGCAAATAAATTGTTATAAATTGAAAATATTTATGGTAACACTTAGTTTAAATTGCATTGTAAATTTAAAAAACCATGATAATTTATTTATTTAACTTTCTTCATACTCTACCAATTCAGCAAAAGCAAACATTCTTGATGTGTACAAAATTGCACACATTCATCTAGCATGATGGAAAGCCCCAGGTTTGTGCCACTGTACATTTATTAGTTTTGCATTCAGTAATTGCAAAGCAAGTTGGAAACCTTCTTGATAAATTACTTCTTAATATTTTTTAAGACTTCCAGTAAAGTAAACCAGACAAGAAAATTTTCATTTCTGGTTGTTTGATCTTTAATACTGGATCCTCGATTTTAATTTTTCAAAAGTGCTATCTGAACTTAATGAAAGTTTAGGCTATATATCATTTTAAAAGTGTCTAAATAACTCATAATTTGAAGATGGACAAAAATCTCCAAAAATCTTAAAATAAACAGATGACAAAACTCTTTATAAGATATGGTGTCTGCAGGCACACCAAAATAACATTTTATTGAAGTGTTCTTTGATTAACTTAGCAGAATTTATCCATCCTGAATTAGATGGAGTTGTTTCAAAAATCAATGCTACATGTGTTTTTTTCTCGTTTTTATGCTTTTACAGCATCTATGGTTGCTGTTGCCTAACTTTTCCCAGTTGTGTCAGAAATCCTGGACACACACAACAATTTTCCTTCAGGTGCACTTGGTTTTCCTGTTACTACAATAGACAAACATTTTATTTTACCACCTACCACAGAGACCAGCATTGAATCCCAGTGAATGGAAGAGTACATGAATGAAATGAATGTTTTTTTAATGTCATTGGAAACTTACTGTAATTTTATTACCTGATCTGCTTGCAGTGCTTTTTGAGATTTCATCTAAATTGTGACCTAATGCTTCAGCTGCAGCTAAATTGATCCTAGATCTTTCTCTGTTTAATAGATTCAACCGATCAGTCATTAAAGAAACTTTAGGGTATTCTAATATCCTAATTTTTTTTTTCTGCCCAGTAATAGAATTTTCTTTCTTTTTATTGAATTCTTCATCGTCAAATTCTGGCAGTACATTGGATCTATCTTTTTTTATATTTTCTTTTCTTGACTTCTCTTTTTCAATAGCTTTTATTTTCTGTGATTCTTTTTGCTGCTTTCTTTTTACTTTCATAGTATAACTCTTATCTAATGAACCCAAAAATTATTTTTTTAATTGATGCTGAGAGAAAATCTAAATCTAAACTGACTATTGATGTCACAAGAGGTATCTTTTCTAATCAAATCTTCTACATTTGATGCTACTATGTCAAACAGAGATGATAACCTATTAGTAAAATGTAGAAGTATAACATTTTTTGTCTACATTTTTAATACAGCCATATAAAATTTTTTATCTACATTTTTAATCAAGTTCTCTCTAAGATGTATCAGATGCAGTATCATTCTAACGGTATTTTTTTTTTGTTTTGTTTGAACTCCTGCCATTTTCCAAAATCCATTCACTTTTTTGCAAATGACAGATGCAACTTCTTTCTTAGTTTCAAATCAAACCTTGTAAGACATAGATAATGGCGTAAAACCTATCCATTAATTTGTTACTAACTAAATATCTTTGCTTCAAGGGTAGGTAATAATTTCCCAACAACTTTATCAAACATCTTTTTTTCTCAATTTTATATTGCTCATATCAGATTGAATATTTTTTATATATGATATATTTTATATTTTATATATAAATTATATATTTATTATATTATACCTATAGATAAAAAGCAAATAATTACAAATTATATAAATATAAAATTATTTATAAGAAAACAACTGCATTCATAGTAAAAAATTTTTTTTTTAAAAATTAAAAAAAATCTCAAACTTTTATAATTTTATAATTCTTGATACAAAATATGTTTAATTGAAATATTACATTTTCATATTTAGCCTAAAATCACTGTTTAATGTTGAACTGTTTTTTTTTAGTGGGCAGCAGAGGGGGTAAAACTTTTAAAATAGGGGCGGGGATCAAAATTTTTCAAAAACCTTATTTTTGCTTTCAATGGACAAAATGAAACACAAAACTGCCTGAAAAAATATTTTTTTAGGGGACACCCTAATATATGCATAAGTGTGTGTGGGCGCGCATGTGTGTATGTATCAACATACGTACATAAATATATTTAAAACTATGCATGCATGTATGTAACTACATACATGCATATATACATAAATGTATGTATGCAAGAATGTAACTACATACATGCATACATACATAAATGTATATATTTATAAATGTATAAATTTTCATTTTGTTTTACATATAAATTTTATTGTCTTTTTTTTGTTATATTGTGCTGAAAAGAAAAATAACTTAAACTAAATTAAAAAATATCAGTATGCAATAAAAAATATCAAAAGAACAAAAAAAAACCTGTTTTAAGACTTTCGGGAATTTTTACACCAGTCAAAAAATGAAAGAAATAGGCAGAGCATCGCAGAAAAGGTAACAATGAATCAACCACATGCTTCTTTAATAAATGACCATTAATTTGTTGAGTGTCAACTTGAATGCTAAAAAAAGACTAGTACATACACTTTTGTCTTTTATTAAGTGTCAGTTGTAATTATATCTACTGTTAACAGTAAAAGATATATATATATATATATCTCTTAAAAAGTAAAGTATATATATTAACAGTAAAATATATATATATACAGGGCTTGAAATAAGTGCCGGATATCGGACATTTGTCGCCACTTGTCCAGTTAAAAACGACTTCTACCGGTCATTTTGTCCGACATATTTTATGTGTATTTATTTTCTAATCATTTCAGTTGATCCAATATTATTAAAAAATTCAGGATTGTATATAAACTTTATTTTTTAAACTTTTTATTTTTTATACAAAAAAAAAAAAAAAAAAAAAAAAAAATTGAAGTTGAACACAGCTACGTTAATAAAATATGTCATTTTTTTGAGTTAATTCATTTTTTAAAAGACGCCAGAGCATTACATTTTTTTTAATTAAATGTGCTCGGTTTTTTATTATTCATTTTTATAAATTAGAATTTATATAATTATAAATTTAAATTTATAGTTTAAAATTTATTTATTTTTTTATCTGATGGTTTTTATAAATTTTAAAAAAGTATTTTAGCCTTTAAAACCTCTTTAAAATTTATTTTATAAAAATTTTAACCTAATAGTTATTTTAATGCTTATAGAAACCATTGCTTTTTATTACACTTTAAATTTGAGTTGTTACATAACGTTTGTTTTTGTGCTAAAATTTTTCTCTAATAAAAGTGTTTATAAAATTAATCCAAAAAAAAGTTTGAGAAGATTTATAAAAAATTACATATTTATATAAATGTAATTACATGCAATATACTTTGATAATTCAAACAAAATATGTTTATTGTAAACATAATTAATTTGTTACTTTATTTAATAAAGCAATAAGTGAACTTAATAATTTATGTATTCAGGCCCGTAGCAACCAGGGGGTCAGCAGGAACCTGACCCCCCGGTTGCTTATAAAAAAAAAAAAAAAGGCCTTGAAAATATTTTGGGGCCCCTTAATCCAGTACACCCCCCCAATATAATTTTTGTTCCTACGGGTCTGATGTATTTAATATATTTACATAGTAATTGATGTCTTTAATAACTTTGTATTTTTATTATACATTTTTATTACATACTTAATTATGTATATAATTACATAGTTTATGTATTTAATATACTTATGTATTTAATAATTTACAATGCATTTTGCATAACATATTAATTTTTAAAAAACGTAATATAAATATATTTTCCTGTTTAAATTTTAGTTTTTTGAGCTTAGATTTTTTCTTTTTCTTTAAGATTTTCTTTTCGATAGATGATTTATCTTACAAATTTTCTTTTTATTTTCAGCGCATTTTGAAACGCCTAGAGTTGTCAAAACAAATTGTGTGGTTAAGTTGTAAAAACAAAATATTTTAAGCGTGTTCAGGAATAGTGTTCAATCGCACTTCCTTTATTTTTTATCAGACATGTCAGACAAATTTGTTTTGATTTAATTTTTGGTTTAATGTTTGCAATAATCACTGGTTTAATGTTTGCAATAATCACTGGTTTAATGTTTGCAATAATCACTTGTTTAATGTTTGCATTAATCACTGGTTTAATGTTTGCAATAATCACTGGTTTAATGTTTGCAATAATCTCTGGTTTAATGTTTGCAATAATCACTGGTTTAATGTTTGCAATAATCACTGGTTTAATGTTTGCAATAATCACTGGTTTAATATTTGCAATAATCACTGGTTTAATGTTTGCAATAATCACTGGTTTAATGTTTGCAATAATCAATGGTTTAATGTTTGCAATAATCACTGGTTTAATGTTTGCAATAATCACTGGTTTAATGTTTGCAATAATCACTGGTTTAATATTTGCAATAATCACTGGTTTAATGTTTGCAATAATCACTGGTTTAATATTTGCAATAATCACTGGTTTAATGTTTGCGATAATCACTGGTTTAATGTTTGCAATAATCACTGGTTTAATGTTTGCAATAGAAAGTAATCAATTAAAACTTAAAAGGTTAATCTATTTATTATTTTTTCACTCTAATTAAATTTTTTTATTATATTAAAATTTATTTTAATATTTTTTCACAATGATTAAATATTTTTCATTTTTTAAGTTTTCATACTTTCGTGTTAATTAATTTTGTACTTTTGCACTTATACAGTTGAAGTGCAAAAGTACACAAAGTAACCACTAAAATTTCTTCAATTTCACAAATCTTTATAAATCTGTAACTGAATATATTGTACTTCAAATGTCAACAAATAACACAAACAAGAAGCCTTACACTGAGGAGACAATTAAAGCGAATTAGATAAGATTGAAAATAGTGAGTTGAGCCTAAGAGCCACAGCTCAATTTTACTGCATACCAGAATCAACACTATCTCACCAAAAATCAAACAAGACTTCAGTAGTAAGTAGTAACAATACAACAAAATTGAATCTTTTTATTGAGTTAATGTCTGTTCACTTTCTTCAGATGCTTGGCAATTGGGGCTTTGGTAGACAATTAGATCAAGTTTAAAGTTTGGTAGATTATTTTTTTTATTCAAAGTTTTGAGAGACTATTTTATTGAAAATGTTAAAGCGTATTTGTTCAAAAATGGAATGCTTGGTTGCAAATGATACAAAGGATTTTTGAGTCAATGGCAATCAGAACTAAGCAAGAGAATAGCTACAAACATTGCACCTTTGAGAGCAGAGTCATGCACACCAGAAATTATTGCCCATTGTTTTTATGTTTTGAAAAAACATTTTCATTTGGCAAAAGTAGGTTTTAGTAAAGTCGTGTATTTGGAGAAACCAATTTCAATTTAAAAAAGAATTTATGTTGAAAGTTCAGCTGTTTGTCCAAAAAATTTTTCCCAAGTCTCCTTGCACAGTCATATAAAAGCAGCAAAGTATATACAAAAATTATTGCTGATTTTGAAAACATTTCCATTAAATTAAGACAACATTGACAAATCAAAATTACAAATTTGTCAAACTTTTAATAACACCTTAATAACATCATCAACAGTTATAAAATCAGACAAGATTTTTTGTCTATAACTGCTCAACAAACACAAACCTTAATTTTGCCTGCAACCCCAACTTCAATTCCAACTTTTAATTTAACTCCTCAAAAAGAATTGGCAACTTGTGTAGAAATCAGTATTGAAAGAGCTCTCTTGAAGCATTTTTAATTTCAAAATACTTACAAACATCCTGCAAAAATAGCAAGAAATGTCAAAACAGTAGCTGGTCAAGCTTTTACAAAAGAAGCATGGTTAAACTCGTTAGAAAAAAAAAAGCAAAGTTATTAAAACGTACATATCTCAAAATTGCAGCAGCAGAAGAAATTCCTGCCAAGAAAGCTACAAAAAAAGTACAAAAAGTGCCCAAAAAACATTTGAAAATGAAAAGCTATAGATGGAAGTTTTATGAAAAATTTGTGAAAAATCATGTTGCAGTTTATGTAAACCTTGTCTCTCAAAAAGATATATAAAAAGCAAAGAATTCTTTTGCACAAAAAGTTGCACAACATAGTTTACAAATTTTTTATTTTTATTTCAAGCTCATTTTTTCTGTTTGTATTATAATTATGTGTATATTTTAACATTTAATATAAAAATATTGAATTTATCAATTTGAATGTTTTTTTTAAATAATTTGGAACTATCTGCTTGTGGCGACAATTTTTAAAATAGTGGATACTTTTAAAAAAAATCAAATCGTTTTTTTAAAAGCAACTTGAAATTTTTTTTTTACACTGCAGAATTGCTGTAATAAACAACTATATCCTAAAAGAAGAAAAAAACCCTAAAAATACTCAATATTAAAAATTTTAAATGAATAAATGTTAAATTTTTAATAAATTAATGTTAAATGAAATCCTTGCTAGAGAGCAATTAATAGTTAAAAATAGTTATAAAGAACGACTAGTTAAAATGGGTCTTAAATCTTAGAAGAAAACGAGAGACTTGATTCAGTTATATAAGATATTAAGTCTGTTAACCTTTTTTTCAAACCAGTCCTCAATTTAAGAATTAAATTAGTTGGCCCGAGTGTTACAACTAGAGGTCACAATCACAGAATCCAGATACAATATTTCACCTCTCGTGAAATAAATGACTTGCATCATGCATCCGTTATTTCAAGAATCTATTTCTTCTCGAACAGAGCGTGCCAACTTTGGAATAAACTTCTGGATGTCGTTGTAAAGTCTGAGAATTTGAAAAAATTTAAAGCAAATCTTGACAATTTTCTTGAGGAAAATGAGAATACATTGGTTTACTTTTCATAAATATCTTTTTAAATTTTTTAAAATTTCATATAAAAGAAACTGTTGTTTAAAAAGTTGTTTCTGTTGTTTATAAAGTTAAAAATAAACATTTTGTTTATAAAAAAAAATCATTAAAATTTCAAAATTTATCATATAAATATAAATATTCCCTACGGGCAGTATTTGTTTTTCAAAGTTATGTTCTAACTAGGGGGTGAGTAAGGTAGATGTCACTCTCCTTTTGAAAAAATGGACCAGTTACAAAACTTTACTAAATTTATGGTTTAGCTTTTTTCATTAAAAGTTGTGTTGCCTCAAGCTTTTTTAAAATTCTTAGTTCTGTCAATTATAAAAACATAGTAATTTGCAAACATGACAATTAAATTTTATTGCACTAATGCATGAAAGCTTTTAAGTTGTTTTATTCTAACATTAAATAATAGAACTGGTTTAAAAAAAGTGAAAATAGCACAACAAAATATAATAAAGATGTCGCCTGAAATCAAAATTCAATACATTACAAAATATATTTAACCAACAGACTTTCCGAAATAATTTTGATCAAATGGATAGACGAATGTTAATTGGGCATGCTACTTTGTTGTGCAACAAGGTTTGTTTTGTAGCTCATGTGCTCTGTTTTTTAAAAAAAGAGATGTTAAGGAGTCTTTTGTTAGAAACCCTTTAATAATTGGAATAAGCTTAAAGAAAAATTAGATTATCACAAAAATAGAGTTTATCACAAACGTTGTTTGAACGAATATTATACTATTCAATTATTACTTAAAATATTTCTTTTTAGAGTTGACAGTCAATTAAGTAAGAACTTGCTGAACAAATCAAATGCAATACACAAAGTTTGAAATAAAAGCTGTGATTTATTGAGGAAAAGGTATACCTCTGCGTGGTACGTTTTAAAATGTAGATAAACTTGGAAATGTTGGTAACTTTCTTTTACTGCTTAAATTAAACGGAGATTCTAACAATGAATTTGTGGCATTTATAAAGTTAAAGCATGTGAGAACAAAATATATTTTAATTAAAATTAAGCAAAATTTACATGAACTTAATTTGAATATTAAAAAATGAGAGGCCAAGAATGCCATGGTGCAGCATCAATGGCAAGTTCCTTATCAGGTGTACAAGCCCAATTTCTGAGTATTCAACCAGAAACAGTATACATCCATTGCACATGTCATAGACTAAATAAGCATGCATCAAGTCTTACCAAAAAATCCAACAATCTCATCGAGCATCGAACAATCTCATCTGCCCTTTGAATCGTTAAAAGAATATTTTAAAAGGTTTCTCATCATTCCATTTATAAATCATACAATAGTTAAATTGAAAGATAAATTTCATCAGATACAATTGAGTTATTATTAGGTTTTGTATTTCCTCTATTATCTGCATAAATACTTTCAGGAACGATTTTCTAAGTGACCCTCAAGTGCTGCTAACGCTCTTAAAGAATGTAAGCTAGATATGCTTCCAAATATTTACATTGTTCTTTCTCTAAGATGTGTTCTTCCAGTCACTACCGCAGAATGTGAACAAGCTGGAAGTGTAATTTGACGCATTCATTTGTACACAAGAGACAGGAACAACTTTACAAGTTCACTTTAATGAACATCCACTATGATTATATCTTTGATTTAGATGTAGTCATTAAAATATTTGCAAAATTACATTCAAGAAGATTAAAATTTGTCTCTTACTTTATGACAATTAACAATTGTTGTAATTAATTGAATACTTATCATTGTTGTTTATTTACATCAGTTATATTAATTTATTTATATTATATTTATAACATATTTTATTATATTAAAAATTGCGGGAAATATTGTGTTTAATTATAATTCTTTTAAAAAATAACTTTGAAATTTTGTTTAAAAAATCAAGCCACAGTAAAAATTTTGTCACCCTCCTAAAAAAAGCCTGGTTACAGGCCTAATAAAATATTTTGTAGCTCATTTAAGAGTTTTATATAAACCTTAAAAGTAATAAGTATTGAAATCATTCATTCAAAATGTAATTAAAAATACAATTTTCAATAATTGTTAACTATTTTATTTTATGTTAATGTATTTAATAGGTTTTTTTAAATTTATTGTAGTGAAATCAATTTTTTTCAGAAACAGCTTAAAAAAGAATTTAATCTTTTTTGTTAAACTTATTGACACAATCATTTGTTATAAATTTATCTTATAAATAAGTATAATAAAAAAGTATAATAAATAAGTATAATAAAAAAGAATACACAATCTTTTATGAATAAACTCTATTTTATGCTTGGCACTTTTTAATAAGAAAAACTTTTGTAAACTATTTAAAAAATAATTTAAAAACAGAAATATCTGAACAAAAGGAACTAAGAACTATGGCGCCATAAAAAGTGATAAAGATCCTGCTCCAAGATCCTTTAAATAGAGTGGTATCACAAACCAATGGAGTGGTATCACAATTACAGTTGTAGTACTGTAATCGTAATTTGCAAAGTAAACTAACAGAACATAAATTTATAATGATGAAACTTTTAAATATGTATTACCCACAAAATGATTTTAAAGTTGCAAATGTTTTGACAACCTCATTTTCATTTTCTGTCAACATTAGTATATCAGTATCTGCAGTTGGTTTACCATCCTCATGATCTTTAAAAAAAGAAAAACTGATCAATCTACAAGAACTCAAACCTTAACTACTCTTTATGTAAATATTTAAATATTTTACCTTTTTTTAAATATAATGGCGCAGTTATAAAACATTTTATGATATATGTGTTCAAGCATAACTTAAAAGCTACATCATCAAGTAAATGTGATGCAAAAGGAAACCATACTGAGCTTTGAAATAAATGCTGAACAGCTGCAACAATAAATCGTAAACTAATCATAACACCAAAAACATCCAATGTTAGGATAGAAATGTCGCTTTCTAATTTGCCACAAAAAACTAAAACAAGAAGTTAAACAATGAGAATAAACAATAAAACTACTGTTTCCATCATTCTCTTAAGTGCATTATAATAACAACAACAATAACAACAACTATAATAATAATAATAATAATAATAATAATAATAATATTTATTATTATTATTGCTATTTTTTTTTTTTTTTGTAGTTTTTATAAACTAAAACCCTTTCCAGTAAAAATCAAATAACTTGCAGTAATAAATTGCTGATATCTTGGTAATAACCAAATGACCAATTACAAATTATGACCAAATTACAAACTAATAATATTTTTAGCTAACTTAATTTAATCAAATTATTGATGCTCCCTTCTTTTTTAAATAAAGTTGGAAAACTTTATTTGTGTATTATGTTTATTTAACTTGAGAACATTGAGCACTTTATTTGAAGAATACACTAATCAAGTTTACACACACACACAAATATATATATATATATATATATATATATATATATATATATATATATATATATATATATATATATATATATATATATATATATATATATAGTGAGTGATCGGGGCCCAAGCCCAGGCTAAAAATGTCACTTTTTCAAACCCGGCCACGGCTAAACTATAAGATTTAGCAGGGGTTGATAGCCGGGGCTAGAAAAAAATTTATAATAATTTTTACATTATAATTTTATGCTAACATTTACTATTTATTAAATAATGGCATATATTTATATATTTTCAAAACCTAAATTACTTCCAACAAGATTGCAAGCAACCACTATTAAGTTATAAGTTACTTTAAAATAGAGAATAAGTAAAAATACTAGGAAATGGTTAACTGAAGACTTGAAAAGTTGTAGGTTGTATATAAAAGAAAAATATGAAAATGGCTAATAGTTTTAAGGTTTTTTCAATGTGCAAGGAAAGATACTGGATTAATAAAAGTTATGGCATGCAGGGACAGATACATTAAAAGGATGCAACTTGTTGAATAAGAAACAACCAAGAATGAGTTTTGGTTTATCGTAATAGAAATGTTTGAGCATTGACCATGAGAAAAAAGAAAAAAATGCAACCTTACAACAATGGGAGAGTGGCTCAAGCTTGACAGATAAAGCATAATTTATTATTTTTACTGTTATTTTTATGTTAATTCACCTCCCCAAGGCTGAAAACGCCACTACAGACAAGGAGGCTACTTAATTGTGGTTATAACCCTCTCTTAACTATATAACTCGGAAACACAAACCTTGACAACCAAGGCCGCTGCGCAAAGAAACAAGTTTAGTGTGGTGCTACAAAAGACATGGTGGGGATCAAACTTGTAACAGAAGAGAGATCAGATGCTTCAGCTGTTTGTTCTAAGCAATCAAAAAGTGAAGATTTTTTGTCAAGACAAGAGTATAAAGTTGAGTTGTCAACAAATAGATTCACTTTATATGTTAAATTTTCATGAAGATTGAATTGTAGATAAGAAACAATACAGGAGCAAAGATTTAAGGGTACCACAAGATACCTTGTGGTACCCTTAAAGTTACTTAAAGTAAAGAAGAGTAATTTAAAAAAAATAAAACTTGAAAAAAATAAGAAAAAATAAAAAACAAGAAAGAAAACTTGAAAAAAATAAGAATAATTTAAATACTGCAGTTAGTAAGAAAAAATTTAATAATCTCAAAACCCTTATATAAAGAACTAATAACAGTGAAGACTAATCGTATGATAGTTGGAAAGGTCAAAGTGTTTTCTAGAGTTTTGAAAAATCGGAACCACTTATTTAGCACTTTTTAAAAATTAAATATTATTAAACATATAATTAATAAGATTAAATGTTAGACTTACTTTAGTTAATGACATTGTTGAAGACTAACTAAAAGTCTCTAGAACCAAACATCTGATATAAGATACAAAATTTAGTAAACTAAGAATAACAAAGCTTAACATCAGGCGGGACCGTTTTACATTGGCTTCTTGGAATAATAAAAGGACATTTGTTTTTAAGAGAAATGTTTTTGTAAAAAACATGAAATAAATGATCAATAAAGAAACTTCTCAAGATGGTGAAAAATATGGAGTAGAATGAGGCTTGACTTAAAATTGAAGAGTAGGAATAAAAGCTTCCAAACTTTTCGTCCAGAAGTAATAAAAGCGTCTGAGATGCGCTTTATGCATACATATTATGTACATAAATATTTATGTTTGCTATTTATTTAGATGCTGGTATACAATATCATCATCATCATCATCATCATCATCATCATCATCATCATCATCATCATCATCATCATCATCATCATCATCATCATCATCATCATCACCATCATTGTCATCATCATAATCATGATCAT